TATACCATAATATCGCAAATGGCAAAAGGCAAAAGGTCACCCAATCAGAAACATGCATACATTTACTGTGCTTTAGAAAATGTAATCATATTTATCTTTCCAAAAGAGTCTTTTAAAAAAATAGCTTACAGAGCATAAATAATTAAATAAATACCAACAGATCTAATTTCATTCTAATTTACTAACTGATCTAATTTCATTCTTACTTTTAAAATAAAACAACAAAAAACTATTTTCTACTTTAAAAAAACATAAAATTTTGAGATAGCTTATCAAGGCACTCAACAACACAAAAATTAGCATTTGATTATTCAGAGTAGTAGTTCCCCAACCTGCCTATGCATTAGAATCACTTGGCAAATCCTAGTCAGATTCCAAGCCTTATCATAAATCTACTGCCTCAGAATTTTTAAAGTATGAGCCTTCATTATGCATATATGTATTTTTAAAGTTCCAAAAACAATATACTCAAACCTTATACTACGCAAGAAAGTGCCAAGTTTAAAAAGCAAAGCAATGATCATTTTGGCCAAATTAACAAAAATTCCATGGAAAACACTGCTGAGTGGATCTAAAGCAAAGGCATTCTCATATGTTGTTCATGAGATTTGCTATTAACATTCTGGAATAATTATAGGAGTGTAAATGCTAGCAATTTTCCTTTATAAATCTATCCTATAGAACTAAAATATCGATAGTGATAAGAGTTGTATGAGCCCCCAATAAAATGATTTTTAAAAAGGAGAACTAAAACATCAAGGAACATAAGGATTTATGTACAAGGATATGTATTTCAGAATGATTTGAAATCAACAATGAAAAATAGAAATAACTATCCACTGATAAGAAAATAGTTATAGCAATTAGAACTTTGCACAGGACAGAATATTACGGAGCCTTGGTAGCACAGTGATTAGACACTCAGCTGCAAACTGTCAGCAGTTCGAGGCCCCCAGTGGCTCCGTGGGAGAGCAGACCTAGCAATCTGCTCCCTTCAGGTGACCACCTAGGCAAAAATAAGGCAGTCAGGACTGGCTCAAATGTCACACCCAACCCTATTGTAAAAGATTAAGTCACGTTCCTCTTCTAACACTATTGCACCAGAAGGAGCCCACAGTCCCTTATACAATAAGACTGTTCCTGCCAAGAGGAATTATAAATCCGGATAAAAGATAAAGAATATAGGCTTGATGATATTGAAGAGCTACGAGTCAGTCAAAACTGGAAAAGTCAAAATTCCATAAATGAGGAAAGCTCACGGAAGTGAACCTTGTTTTCTGTGTATTGCTCTTCAAAATCTATTCAGAATCTACAGTAAAAGGCAGCAATCTGAGACTATGGACAGAACACAGCAGAAATCCAAGCAGAACGGGGCAACTAGGGATAGCTTCAGCTGTCTATAAGTGCTAGAGAGCCGAAATGTGGAAATTAGATTGCCAAAACAGCGAAATTTGAAAAGGTCAATGTCAAGAGACAAGGAAAGTACACATCCAGGACATTCAATTCTAATTCACCAAAGCACCTGATGATTTTTAAACTTAATCGGACAAAACAAACCAAACCCATGGCCATCGAGTTGATTCTAACTCACAAAGACCCTCTAGAACAGAGCAGACCTGCTCCCTAGGGTTTCCAAGGCTGTAAATCTTTATAGGAGCAGACAGCCTCATTTTTCTCCCAAGGAGTTGCTGGTGGATTCAAACTGCTGATCTTATCATTATCAACTCAACTTGCAACCCACTAAACCACTAGGAAAAGGGGTATATAAATAAGCTAAATAAAAAAGTGGTCTAACCTGTGCTCCAGTGTTCATATTGGCACAGTTCACAATTGCAAAACACTGGAAACAACCCAAATTTCTATCAACAGTAGAACGGATCGAAAAACTGTGGTACAAAAAAAAATACAAAAAAACTGGTACATGTACATACCCTGGAGTACTATGCATCCTTAAAAGCAGTGATGAATGCATGAAACACATTGTCGCATGGGAAGAACAGGAGGAAATTATGCTAAGCCAAGTAAGCCAAGCACAAAAGGGCAGGTACAACATGAGTCCACTGAGGTACCTTAAAAAAAATGGGGCATAGGGGAAAAGTTACTATATACATACATTCCTGGGGTGAGATCCTGGTACTATGGCAGGGGCCAAACCCAATCCAGGGATACAGATGGCAGTCAACTATATAGGAGGGGTAAAGAAAGAGGGGGAAAAAAGACATGGGGGGAGGGGGGAGGGCATCGTTTATTTCTCCACAGGAGAAGCAGAGAGAGACCAGGCTTCAACCCAATGCACCAAGACGTGAATACAGCATACCGGTATGTACCAGGGAACCAATGGAGAGGTCTATGGGGCCGGCCCCAATCCCAAGTTTGTGGACACACACACCCCCTCCCCCAGAAGAACACACTTGAGGACCACACTGAAGCTACAGCGTGGGCAGAGGGGCACGTCTGATTCGAGCGCACAGGAGAAACAAAGAGGGATGGAGAGGGAAGGGAACACATCCTGGCCCAGCAAGCTACAAGGACGATGTTCCTGCTCAGAGCACACAATGCACAGAGGACCATAGGGCCTGCCCCACCACAAGACACCATGTCCCTCACTGAACCACAGCGCAATGAGGGGCAACACTGGAGACACAGTGCAGGAAATGTGTCCAATCTGACCCCTTCACACTGGGGCAAAACACTAAAGGCATGCAACAGAACAGCAAGGGGAGCAAAGTGATGAATTCCCCGGGGAATATCAAAAACAGACTTTGAAGACACAGTGCGGTACCCCACGAGACTCCACTGGAAAACACTTGTAAAAGCCAACAAAGAAACCTTGAACTATTATAGGCTTTTCCATTTTTGTCAGTGGCTTTTTCTGTAGTTGTTACTTTGTTTTTGATTTTTGTTGTTGTTATTGTTTTGTTAGGTTTTGCCTGGTTTTTGCACTTAATTTCTCTGCATGTCTATCTAGATAAGCATAACAAAAATAATGTAGGAGACATATGAGAGTCTAGCACATATGTAATCCTAATGCCATAAGAGGAAAAGAAAAAAAACAGAGCAAAATATGAACCAACGATATGCTGTCTACACTAAACCATTAAAAAACTCAACTAGTGAGAAAGTCATGAGTAGAAAAAGACATACCAAGCAAACAGTAAAGTATTCAGTAAAGTATTTATTTGGCTATATTAATGCCAAATAAAATAGATTTCAAGATAAAGAGTATTATCAGAGATAAGAAAGATACTTCATAATGACAAAGAAGTCAATTAAGTCAGAAATAATCCTAATGTGTACTTACCTAACTCAATGCCCTAAAATCCACCAGAAAAACTAACAGAACTAAAAGGAAAAATGTAAAGTTACACAAGTAATAGTTACAGATTTCAAAACGTCTCCCCAGTAACAAGTAGCCAAGCAGATAAATAAACCCAAAAAATGTAGCATTGTGGTTGTCAGGTGACAGCAAATTGCTTCTAACTCACACCAACTCTCCGTAGATGCGAGCAGATCTTCACCATCTACCTGAATCTCACGGCATCTCTCGACCGTATGTCCAGCAACTGCGAAACACACACACGTTCCCCAGTCACCGAGGAAAACCAAGTCCTGGGCCATCAAACAAGTCCTCATGGATTCAAAGACTGAAATTGTATAAAGTCTATTCTCTTACCACAAATGGATTAAATTAGAAATCGGCAATAATAAAACATCTACACCAGCCACAGTACTGGCATAGTAAAGCCTCACCTCTAAACAACCTAAAGGTCAAATTAAAAAATCACAAAACACATTAGAAAATCTCCTGATCTACATAATAGAGAAAATGCAGTGCACATCTAAAATTTTCTTAGATGTAGCTAAAGAAACACATAGTAGGGCCAAAAAAAACTAAGGCAGTTTACCTCATTAACAGATTAAACGAATGTTTAGAGAATTCATGGGTTCACTCAAGGAGCCCAAGGAGCCAAGGACGGGGGTGCAGAGGGGGTAAGCTGTCCACACCAAATCCCGAGTCATTCCTGATTCTGACCTGTAACCTGTTCCTTTCCTCGCTCAAAAAACTCACTGCCAGTGAGTCGATGCGGACTCAAAGCCCCCTACACGACTGAGCAGACAGGAGTAGAAAGCCTGCCGTTCTCTGAGGAATGGCTGGGGGTTTAGAACTGCTGACTTTGTGGTTCTTCACACCAGGGCTCCTATACTTCACTAATAGTCCCATAAAAAAACAGTCAATAGTGTCTGTGAGTTCTGTGTGGACATGGCAATGAACTGTCAAACCCAGCAGAGGAGCAGAGAGCACTGGGACAGCTGGTATCAGAATTGGAAAAAAGATGAGAGACCAGGAGGGATAGCTGACTTGTGCCTGGGCTGATGCTGATGGTGACTCTCTTCCCGGTGTGAAATGACAGGGGCTCAGACACCTCTGTCTTTACACATACCAACAACTGTGAAGACGGCACAAGACCCGGCAGCGTTTCAGCCTGTCGTCCGCGGCATTGCCATGAGTGGGAGCTCACGTAGCAGCAGCTAAACCACCACCACCACCGTGTTTATTGTTTTAAACAGTAAACCCTGTCTGCTCAGCCAACTTGTTCCAAGTGGGGAGAAAGAGCTACACGTCCATCTTAATTACTCAAAAACCTCCTTGCAGCCAAGAAGTCGGGGAGAAGAGTGAACTACATGGCAGTAGCTGTCTAGAGGGAACAGGTTGAAAAAGACAGGTGGGAAAACGGCATATCTGTGTTTTTTATTTTAATTTACAGATTTCAAGTAACTCAAAACATTTACATATATAAAAATCATTTCCAATAAAAGATCAAGACTTTAATATCACCTGAGAACTACTCTTTTTATGAATTTTGTCAAATTAGAACTCAGCCTCATTAATGCAGTCCAACTCCCATTCTCTGCTCATGTCAGACAGGAAAGCAACACAGATTGATCTTTTACGTACTTTGTAGACACTGGGCATCCCAACGGTTAAACCCTTCCTTTACCTTTGCAGCAAGCTGTAGTCCAATCCTGTCAGCTTCGGCCTCCAGTGTTCTACTGTATGGCCTATCAAACATATACTAAGAAGAAATAAAAAAGAAAGGATCCATTAAGGTGAATTATTTCATGACAAAAGGGAAACAGAGTGAGATTTTTGAAACTAATCTGATAGAAATCAACGATAAGGCCTTATATTCTCTATGATAAATATTTTAAAGATACCAGGATATAAAACAAAGTACTGCAATTATTTCCTCCATAGAAATTAATACTTTCACAAGATGCAAGGAGGGGTGTTACCTACAAATGTCTAGACAATCTGTAGTATTATAAATAGTTGACTACACTTTTCTAATTATAATTTCCACCTACTGTGTAGAGCTTTCCCTTAGAAATTTTATTGATACAGGCTTTTAATAGAGCCAAAGAACATTTAATCTTCTAGTTTTAAAATAAAATTGAAAACGAGAGGAATAGCCAGCAATACTACTAGATTTATTTTAGTTAGAAAATTAACCATATAACAGAATGTTATTTCTTTGATAAATTACCTTACTTTCCTCTTTTTTCCTACTAAATATTGATTAGTTAGGAAAATGAAATTTTCTTCTGACAAATGAAAAAACTACAAATAGATACTATACCTTTAATTTTCTTAATTACTTCTATTTATATTAATGCTTTCCAGTTAAATTCTAATTTTCAGTAAGTACTAAAATTTTGTAGGAGATGGATCAATAAGCAGGACTTTTGAGAAAAGAGCTATTAATTGAGAAAGCAATTTTTCAGAGGTAGCTACATGTCAGTGATGGTTAGAAATAATACAATCAATCTGACCTACAACATATGACCACTATATATTGCCTTCTTCCTTCTTAATCACAGCTGGTTTAGGTTGATGAAGCATATTCTACAGTGTCTGTATGCTCCCTGGGCAGTTTGCAGATGTCTCGTCGTCTAGGGACAATAAAACCAAAGGCAAACTCACCACCACCGAGTCAATCCCGAGTCATAACGAGTCAACAGATCAAAGAACTGCCCCGTGGGGATTCTGAGGCTACACATCTTTAACAGAACAGAAAGCCCCATCTTTCTCTGCAGAGGGGCTGGGGAGTTCAAGCTGCTCACCAGGTTAGCAGCCCAACATGTAACCCACTATGCCACCAGGGCTCCTGAGAGTGACTGAAAAGCGGGGGCTTCAAAAAAAGAACTCAGTCATTTGGCATGACAAAGCCCATGAGGTTAATGTTTGAGGTAGTTTATTGTGACAACCTGGCCGATAAACACATGTGGGGTTAATTAAAGGGCAGAGGGATAAATGGTTGGGTGAGCCACGCCTTTCTAGTTCTCAGGTCTCTTGCTTTGTGATGGTCGGATCAGTGTTCAGCTGCCTTAGCCAGTTCCCTGCTTCAGCTGGCAAGGCTCATTTCCTACAAGATATCCCTGAGGAGAAGCCACATGGATCTACCCCAATGCAGCCCTGGGTGCTGGAGCATCTGTGTGGAGACCCCTGCCAGTGCTGAGATGCTTACACATTCACTGACCTGGCTTTCCTCCTGCAGTCGGTGTCATAGTGTGTGTTTTGTGAGATGGAGGAGGACTTTGTGGGTTGGTGTTGGGCATATGGGTTAATGTTGGACTTGTGGGCTTGGGTAGCACTGGGTTGGGATGTTTTCTTGATGCACACTTAACCTTTATATAAAAGTCTCTCTTTTATATAAAGTTTTATATAAAAGTCTCTCTTTTATACACAAGTTTCTGTGGATTTGTTTCTCTAACATCCCCAGACTAACACAATGTTCTACATGTTAGCTGGTGAGTAGCATCTGGGGTATACAAACCTTTTTCTTGGTTTTTCTGCTTAGAGTAATTGTCTCACATAATATTTGTCCTTTTGTGACTGACTAACTTCTCTGAGCCTAATGTTCTCCAGGTTTATCCATGTCATGAGGCACATCGTGGTATCACCATTGATTTTCAGCAATGTATAGTCTTCCATTGTGTGTATGTCCAACTTTTCTTTCTCCATTCTACTGAGGGGCATTTGGGTTGTTTCTAACTTCTTGCTATTATGAACACTGCTGCAATGAATCCACGAGTGCATGTGTCTGTTTGTGTTACGGATCTTCTTTAGGGTATGCACCTAGCAGAGGTATCGCTGACTCATATAGAATGTCTATTCCCGGTTGTTTGAGGTAGCGCCTTAGCACATTGTCCAATGGTTGTACTTCACTTCTTCACTTTCAGCAAGCAGGGTTATGCCATCCATATATTACAGGGTGTTAATGAGTCTTCCTCCAATCCTGATACCATGTTCTTCTCCATACAGTCCAGCTTCTTGCATAATTTGCTCAGTATGAAAATTATATTCCACATTATATTTCTTAATAAATACAAAAGCACATAACCTTTGCACACATCTTTCCTATTTTTAGGAACCCTTTCTGCCGCAGCCCTTTCTGCTGTTTGGACGACTACCTTCTTGGTCTATGTAAGGTGCTACATGAGCATAATTAAGGGTTCTTCTTCATGATTTGTTATGAGCCACACATTTGAATGCCTTTGCATAACCAGTAAAACAAAGGTAAGCCTTTTTCGAGTATCTGCTTTTAGTCATGATTCAGCACTGATATCCTTCATTCCACCTCCTCTTCTAAATCCAGCTTGAAATTCTGGCAGCTCCTGTCAGACAGACTTACTGAAGCCACTTTTAAATTTTCATTTGCTACGTTTCTGTGGGTAGAGGCCTGGGATAGTATTCAACACCCTAAAATGCAAATGACAGCCCCTCAAAGCAAGTACTTATCCAGTTCAAAATACCTATAACGTGAAGGTTGAGAAAGCCTGCTTTCAGAGTATGAGTTAATCTTTGCAAGGATTAAATACTCAAATCGTAACTTTAGAGGACCCAGAATTATTATCCCAAGTTCACAGTTTAAGAAAACAAGCCCTACAGAGGTAAAGTAACCTGTCCAACTTCTGTAAACTGTAGGTCCAAGGGAGCCCATGTTACGCGGGTTGACTACAAAAACAAATCCAGTGACATTCGTATACCATATATACTCATGCATAAGCCGAGTTTGTTCAGCACATTTTTTATGCAGTTTTTGTGATAAAATTAGGTGCCTTGCTGATATTCAGGTCAGCTTATACTCGAGTGTATACAGTATATTTAAGAAAGAGATATCAAGACAGTATCTCAGCACAGTTCAACTCAAATCCCTAAGTCTGCTGCGGTCCATCAGCCCTTGTCAGATCAGGTAGCCCTGCCATGAAGCAGAACGCAGAGGCAGAGCCACAGGGCAGGGAGTCAGGCAGCTCCAGTCAGTGGAAACTTGACAGGGCTCTGGCAGGGTCAGTTCAGTGGCAGAGTCCCAGCAAGTAAGGAAAGCAAACAGGGAGAGGGAAAGGGAGGTTCCCCATTCTCCTGGTTAACACAAGGCCACAGCCCCAAGAAGGCACCATTAGGCTCTGACCTCATTGCCAGGTGGGATTCCACCCCTACACTTTCACACATTCAAACTGACATTAATCATCTGACTACATGGAGCCCAAATTCAAACACAGGTCCCGCGGATCAGAATCTGCATCCTTAACTACCGCACAGGACAAATCTATAATCTCCTTAATGTGCAGATGTTACACACTCAGTAATTATTTGCTATTAAATGCAAGCTATGTTGAGAGCTCTTAACCTTAGCACTTAGGAGTTCTACAAGGCTGCTCCAATGTACCCGTGCCTTTAAGACTGCAAAACTGGCCATCCCCAATGGTAAAGGGAGGGCTTCTGGCACGTGACTGGCAGCAGTTCCCTCCCCCAGTGGCTTCACAATCAGCAGTCCCTTCTGCCCTCCAAGCACAATGAGCAAGGCTTTCTAGGCAGAAAAACAGCTCCTTGTCAGCAAAAGATGCCCAGGAAGGGAGCTTTAATTTGGGGGGAGGGAGGGAAGGAATTTAAAACACGAGTAATCCCTACTTAATTTTCAGGTTATTGTTAAACTGAATAGTTACACTGAAGTGGCAGAATTCACCAAATGTTTCAAGTATGAAAAAGAACTACAAGTAGCATCTCAACTACAAGTAGTTCTTTTTCAGTAGAGAAAAAGCAATCTGCTGGTAGATATGAGAAAGACTATGTTGCCTCCTTTGACTTCGCCATAGGTTAGTGGCAGAAACAAAGGATAAAACCCGCTATCCCACAGCCAAACAGAAACCCTGGCGGCACACTGTCTAAGCACTTAGCTGCTGCTGGCAAACTGCTGACTTTGAACCCACTAACCACAGCAAACTCAGGACCCACCCAAGGGAACAGGTTTCTTCATAACCCAGTAAGCAGTCCTTCGTTGTTTTCCCTTTAAGAATCTTTAGTATAAATGAAACCGAATGATATGGTAACCCTGAATAAAAGACTTATTCGATATCAAAAGCAATTTATCTAAAAGAATTTTGCACATTAGATTTAAACAGCACCCAGATGGCACTAGGATGGGTGCTCCACGAAACATTAAATAGAGGACAGATTGTTCCTAAATAACCAGACCTCCCAGGACAGGGGGAAATATCTGAAGAGAGATATAAAATAATCAATCACAGTTAGCAAAATAGTGATCAAGATTGCAAGACCTACTTCCAATAGTGCCATCTTCTGAACAAAATGAGAGACTCCAGGGATTTTATGAACTGATCATTATACATACACCGTATATACTCGTGTATAAGCTAAGTGTTTCAGCACATTTTTTATGCAGCTGTTGTGCTAAAATGAGGTGCCTCAGCTGAAATCCGGGTCAGCTTATACTCAAGTATATACGGTACATACATACATAGGCACTGTACTGATTAAATTGTTTTTCAACAGACCCCTGTGTGGAGGAAGGGGTGGAGCCCAGCCTATCAATCAGGTCACAACCTCATGATGCCTCCTTCCCAGAGGGACTGTGGTGTACAGAGTGGTAAGGCAGGCTTCGGCCAACTCTGGACCCGTCAAAGTTCACAGCTCGAAGACCCCCCCC